GTCTTGATCACCGAAACGAAAAGGCTCCTACCACTTATACCTTTGCCTTGAGCCTTTTGTTTTCCCTTCTCCTTTTCCAAGTCCAAGCACTTGATCATCACCATGGAATCACTATCATCATGTCATAATCTTCATTTGTTTCACAACTTGGAATAGTGCTACCTATCTCATAATCACTTTGATAAACTAGGTTAGCACTTAGGGTTTCATCAATTAACTAAAACCAAACTAGAGCTTTCATGGTGGCGGTCTTCCCGTCGCTGGCAGCACCCCCTCTTAGATCGGTTAGGGTTTAGGGACTGTAGGTGGGGCGTCTAGCGGCTCAGGTGAACCTTGTGCCTTGTGCCCCGCCCCTACCTCCCTTTTTATGGCGCTATGCGACGGGGGCCCACCAACCATGGAACGGTTGGGCGCCCCCGATCAGGGCACGGATCCAAGGGCCCAATTGGCTTAAATAGAGAGCCCCCACGAATAGAGCAGGTGACTCTCTGTTCTTTAAAAAGTCGGGGCGACCGGACGCGCCGGTCAGATCGATCGGACGCTGGACCCCAGCGTCCGGTCACGCGATGCGTGCCACATGGCCCTTGCTTCAAACGTTGATCGCACGATCTCAACGGTCACCAGTACATTTAAGTTGTGACTGGACGCACTGCTTTGAAGTGACCGGACGTAGGACCCCAGTGTCCGGTTGTTTCTAGTAAGGTTCCATTCGCGACCGGACGTGTCCGGTCCTGACCGGTCTCACCCAGCGTCCGGTCACTCACTGTCTCCTCTGTGCGTTGCCATGTCAGCGTACGTCAGCACTATCCGGACGTAGGCCCTGAGCGTCTGGTCACACTTCGCGCCAGCATCCGGTCAAAAGACCGAGATAGCGCGCTCACTGCTGCTACTGACCAGACGCAGGATCCTAGCGTCCGGTCACTACGTGACCAGCGTCCGATGCACTATGTGAAATCCTGTCTTTTCTATACAGAGCGCCGGTGGCACCGTCAGACTGTCCGCACTCTACGGGCGGACACTCCACCGGTGGAGTTTCAAACCCTTGCTTCCAAGTGCTAAACACAATGTGTATCACCTTCGTGCATGTGTGTTAGCATATTTTCACAAACATTTTCAAGGATGTTAGCACTCCACTAGATCCTAAATGCATATGCAATGAGTTAGAGCATCTAGTGGCACTTTGATAACCGCATTTCGATACGAGTTTCACCCCTCTTAATAGTATGGCTATCGATCCTAAATGTGATCACATTCACTAAGTCTCTCGATCACTAAAACAAAATGGCTCCTACAATTTATACCTTTGCCTTGAGCCGTTTGTTTTTCTCTTTCTTCTTTTCAAGTCCAAGCACTTGATCATCACCATGGAATCACCATCATCATGTCATGATCTTCATTTGCTTCACCACTTGGAATAGTGTTACCTATCTCATAATCACTTTGATAAACTAGGTTAGCACTTAGGGCTTCATCAATTAACCAAAACCAAACTAGAGCTTTTAGTGGGGATAACCCCAGGCACCTGAGCAGGTTCTTTCAGGCTTTCTGGAAGTTCTGTTAGAACTTCCGACTGTCGGAACTTCTGACTTGGGTCGAAACTTCCAGCAACGGAGCATGTTTTCGGGGGCATAACTCCTTCATCCGAACTCCAAATTGGACGTTCCATATATGTTTTTTTACCATCTCGATGAGAGGAACGCAATGGTGAACAATAATGCTATGACTCTAACGTCCAACGGTTTCCGGACGCGCGTCAGATAAGGATTGGATATGGTGCCACGCGTCCTCCTCCACTCATCCCTCACAGCCTTATCTGCTCGCACTGTAGTTCATTCACCAGGTACCGCTCCTCCACACGTTCGCTACCGTTGCTCCTCTCCTCTTCCTCTCCTCCCCCATGGTTCCAGGAGCATCGCGAGCCGATGGTGGTGCTCCTCCCCGCCTTCCGCCCATCCTCCACACACCTCGCTCCCTCCCTGACCGGCAACGGCGGCGTCCTCTCCCACTCCGACGTCCGCCCCCCACCACGGTGGCTCCTTCTCTCCACACCGACGTCTCCTTCCCCGACGCCGGCGTCCTCCACCCCCACCCCGGTTCCCTCCTTAACACCGGCGTCCCCCCCACCACGGTGGCTCCTTCCCCCACACCGATGTCTCCTTTCCCGACCCCGGCGTCCTCCTCCTCCACCTTGGCTCTCTCCTCCCCACCCTGGCGGCGCCCCTCCCCGACGCCAGCGTCCTCCCCACAGGGAGCTCCTGGCACTCTCAGATCTGGCGGCCATGGCGTTCCCCGTACATGCCATCTCTCCCCCCTATATATTGCAATTGTATCTTTTAGTTGTTTCAGACGCTTCAGAGGTATGTTGCAGTTGAATCGTAAGGATGTTGCACAAGTAGATCTGGGAATATTTTGCCCATGTTGCATTTGTTTCAAAGGTTTGTTGAAAGCACTGTTTCAAAATGTTTCACTTGTTTCTAGACGATGTTGCAATCGTTCTGATCTGGATGTTTTCATATGCTTCGCACACATGTTGCAATAATACTTCCGAAATGTTTCAGTTGCTTCAATTCCATGTTGCAGTAGTTGTTCCATGTTGTTGCAAGTGTTTTTTATTCGAGCGTTGTTTCATATGCTTGACACCAGTGTTGCAATAATATGTTCCAAATGTTTTAGCTTCTTTAACCTATTGTTGCAGCAGTTTGTTTCGTGTTGTTGCAATAATATGTTCATGGTGTTTCAGCTGCTTCAGCATAATGTTGCAGCAGTTGTTCCGTGTGTTGCAATAATATGTTCATGGTGTTTCAGCTGCTTCAGCCTAATGTTGCAGTAGTTGTTTCCGTGTTGTTGCAATAATATGTTCATGGTGTTTCAGCTGCTTCAGCCTAATGTTGCAGTAGTTGTTCCGTGTTGTTGCATGTGTTTTATTCCGGTTTTCTATGTTGTTCGTCCGGGGAGGGGCGAGCCGGGGCAGGTGGGGGCGCGTGGTTCGCCGGGGGCCTAGCGGGCAGAGGTGCTGGGGCTGGCGGACGCGGGGTGTTGTGGCCATGGGGCGCACTGGGCATGTAGCATGCTCGTCACGGGCATGGGGCGGACGCGACGGACTGCGGGGCGATCTGGGGGCGTGCGGACGGGGGTCGGGGGCGTGCTGAGGGCATGCGGACTAGAAAGGGGTGCGTGCTGGGGGAGTGTGTCCACGGAACCGTCCGATGGATCAGTATTCATCGGACGTCCAGGCGCCAGCGCTCCCCAATGGTGAAGTCCGTTTCACATTTTGATAACTTCATAAAATGGACAATTTTAGTTATAACACGTACCAAAAGATCGTGCCGTGAGTGGCCCTAAAATAGTACAATTCTAGATAACTGCAAGAGAAACAACCTTTTCCTCACTCTACCTTTGTCAAGCTATAGGGAGTATTCTGACCTATTTTCGCTGAGATCATCTTTTTTTTTTGGTCTCCCAACCTTTGCCCGCTATGGTTCCTAACTGTTCTTACCCCACCATCATCCCAAGTTATGGCAGTTTTAACTATTCTTATCCCTTCTTATTCCTTTCTGTACCTTATGCCCTGTTTGATTCCATAGTCTAAAAGTTCATCTAGATTCTTATCTTATAACAGCTTTGAGTCTTGTTTGTCTTCTCTTCCTACTATCATCTTCGATCTTATCATCATCATCAGATTTAACCAAATCCTATTAGGACCTGTTGCTTATCTCTTATTAGTTCCTGCTATGGTACATTTAATCAAATCCTCAAAATTAATTCGGAAGGCTTGATGTAGGGCCTGTTGCTTCTCTCTCATCCACAGTTCCACTCTTCCTTAAATAAAGAAATTACTGTGGTTTCTTGCATATTTCCAGATGGAAGAACAGGAACTTAAATGCAGCGACAGAAATTAAGAACACCCAACCATGGCACGGTGTCCACATAATGTCAATCTAATCGGCACCCAGTGAGTTAGGGAGATCTGATAAACGTGGCAGATTGGGCTAGTTCTCGGTCGATATAGATATGCAGAGTGCACACAATTGAACAGTGAGCCGAGACAACGACTGAACACCAACCAACAGAACATACAGATTGGGTTTCTGGCCTCTTCAGACGCGGTTACAGTCTTTGATGCCATCCCTGAATGTTCAAGAAGATGTGTCCACTGGACTTACGAAATAAGAACGTGCAGGTTAAGTGTGAGGAATCAAAAATAGAGGCAGAGGAAACCCGGGTAATTAATAATGAAACTATGAAACTCAACCAACCATGAACATGTCGAACAGCTCATCACATGGGAACATTAAAGCCTTGGTGGGGCGACGATGTAGGCAGAAGTGCAGAACTACAATACAGTACTCATTCAATCTGCAGTGAAGATCACAGAAATCAGTGAAGAAACAAATCGATCAAGATTTACTTTACCTAACAAACTGAACAAGCTTCCTGCTGACTTCCTCCCTAAAAACAAATTTAACAACCTCATTCAATCTGCAGTGCATTGTTAGATATGTCACACTTCCCAGTAAACATTTCCTCTTCTTGAAGAACGGCACGTCCCGTGACTCGTGATGATGGTGATACCTCTGTGGAGCAGAGAGGAAAGCAACCCATGCACATACCATTAGGAGGAATATTCCTTTCCTTGTTAAAAAAAAAGTAAAAGTGAATTCTGAGGGATTTTCTACAGAAAAAAAAAATCTCATTCACTTAGTAGTAGTGAGCAACTTTACTGGTCCCTAAATAAGTGGCTTACAGCAGTGCGGGTCATGACCCCAACAATTAAATTAAATGGTCAAGATCACGAACTTTATGTAGATGCTCAATAAGTGCTCACAGCAGTGCGGGCCAGACAAACTCACCTTCGGCGCCGTCCTTCCGGTCACAACCAATGTGTAGCTCAGCACATACCAGTGGCAAAGCAGAGAGGAATTGAAGGAGCCCCACGGCCTACACAGCCAAAGCCAGATCTATTTCTTCCCCACCCCCAAGGCCCCAATCACCAGAAAAATATGGCAGCCGATAAGCACCGGCTCCTCTATCCAATCTTCCTTTCACTCCTCTCCGTTCCTTTGTGCTCCCGTGCATCCCCATGGCAGGTCATAGGCACAGGCTCATCCCTGCAAGTAGATCACGGGGAGATCTTCCTTGTCTCTCCGGACACAACCTTCTCCTGCGGCTTCTACTCATCTGGAGAAGGCACCAACGCCTACTACTTCTCCATCTGGTTCACCCACTCCACCGACAGGACTGTTGTTTGGACAGCGAACCGTGGCTCTCCGGTGAATGGCCATGGCTCAAAGATCTACTTCAACCGTGAAGGAAACCTGCTCCTTACGGATGTCAATGGCTCCACAGTGTGGCAGAGCAAGACAAAATGGGGAAAGCACGCCTCAGTAGCTCTCCTCAACAGTGGTAACCTTGTGGTCAGGGCCTCCACTGATCAGGTAGTGTGGCAGAGCTTCGATTCACCCACTGACACATTGCTTCCTTCACAGCGCCTGACGAGGGAGATGAGGTTGGCCTCTCAATCTGGCTATCATCGCCTCTATTTTGACAATGACAACGTCCTGCGGCTCCTGTACAATGGGCCAGACATCACAAGCATATACTGGCCAAGCCCGGATTACAATGCCCTGCAAAATGGCCGGACTAGATTCAACAGCAGTAAGATAGCAGTTCTGGACAATGACGGTATTTTCTGGTCAAGCGATGGGTTCAGAATGATAGCCTCAGATTTAGGATTTGGAATCAAGAGAAGGATCACCATCGATTATGATGGCAACCTTAGAATGTACAGCTTGAATGCAGCAGGCAACTGGATTATCACAGGCGAGGCTTTACTGCAGATGTGCTATGTGCATGGTTTATGTGGAAAAGGTGGAATTTGTGAGTATTCACAGTCTCTCAAATGCACTTGTCCTCCAGGATATAACATGACTGATCCAAAGAACTGGAACAAAGGATGCAGTCCAACATTCAACACCAACTGTGGGCAACCAAGAGAGGATTTTACATTCGTCAAGATTCCCCATGGTGACTTTTATGGCCTTGATCTGACTTCAAACCAGTCAATCTCATTTGAAGAATGCATGCGGATATGCTTGGACAGCTGCTTGTGCTTATCTTTCACATACAAAGCTGGACAAGGCCTATGTTACACCAAAAATCAACTCTACAATGGCCAGGTTTATCCATATTTTCCCGGAGACAGCTACATCAAACTTCCTAAGAAAATCACTCCAACATATTCAGCCTCCAATCATTCCAGTCTTACATGCAGTCCAAAGAATACCAAGGTTATGTTAGTATCCGAAGATGAATACATGAAAAATTCTGACAGCATAAACTGGGCATACTTCTATGCATTTGCTGCTATATTAGGAGCAGTTGAGCTGCTTTTCATCATGACAGGGTGGTATTTTCTTTTCAAAATGCACAACATACCGAAGTCAATGGAGGAAGGTTACAAAATGATAACAAGCCAATTCAGGAGATTTACATACCGTGAGTTGGTGGAAGCAACGGGTAAATTTAAAGAAGAGCTAAGAAAAGGCGGCAGTGGTACGGTTTACAGAGGAATACTTGCAGACAAGAAAATAGTGGCAATAAAGAAGCTTACAGATGTTAGACAAGGCGAAGAGGAATTCTGGGCAGAAGTAACTTTGATTGGGAGGATCAATCATTTAAATTTAGTCAGGATGTGGGGATTTTGCTCAGAAGGCAAACACAGGTTATTAGTGTACGAGTATGTGGAGAATGAGTCATTGGACAAGTACCTTTTTGGTGACAGGCGCACTGAAACATTGCTATCATGGAGCCAAAGATTCAAGATTGCCGTGGGAACCGCAAGAGGCCTTGCTTACCTCCATCATGAATGTCTGGAATGGGTTGTCCATTGTGATGTAAAACCAGAAAACATACTGCTGACCCGAGATTTTGAAGCAAAGATAGCAGACTTTGGACTGTCCAAGCTTTCAAAAAGAGACAGTCCTAGCTTCAGTTTCACTCATATGAGAGGCACAATGGGCTACATGGCACCAGAATGGGCATTGAATTTGCCAATCAATGCAAAGGTTGATGTTTACAGCTATGGAGTTGTGCTTCTGGAGATTGTTACTGGGAGTAGGGTTTCAAGTGGGATAACAATAGACGAAGAAGAGATGGACTTCATGCAGTTTGTTCAGGAAGTCAAACAGATGCTCGCTAGGGGGGGTAACCTGGATATAGTGGATGCTAGACTCAAAGGGCATTTCAATCACGAGCAAGCAACAGTGATGGTGAAAATAGCTGTTTCCTGTCTTGAAGAAAGAAGCAAGAGGCCAACAATGGATCAAATTGTAAAAGACCTTATGGTGTACAATGATGAAGATGATCACCCTGCATATTTTTTATGACCTGTAGTCAAAAGGAAATATAAGTAAGAATATAAACTGAAAAGTCTTAGTCAAATATGCACACCATCCTTAGAAGAGAAAACAATGTGTTGTACATTATGTATGAATGGAAAAAAAGTTAGAAGCATTTTTCAGATTTTCTGCTTGCTCTTTTTAAAACTGTGTTTGGTGTTCTGAGGGGCTTGCATAGTTTGCCGGAGGTGAAGGATGCTAAATATTTCTTATACTTTTCATTTGATAAGGCCCTTTGTGCTAATTTTACATGTTACTGTTCTTCTGTTACAAGAATGGAAGCCAAAAGAGCCTCCATTTATTTGAGGACAAAAATAGAATATCTTTTGAATGGCAATTCCTTCTATAATAATTACTTTGAAACTTGTGTAACAAAATCCCTAAATGAACTCAACTGTAAAACATTTCTTTATATTAAAAAGACACTGAAATGGCGAAACGAAAACGTACTTGCACTTGGAGCACTCTCTCATGAAAACACTTGACACCAAATACAATACCATTGCTCCAACCTTCTGTGGCTTGAACAATCTGCATAGATTTCCCAAAACCTAGAAAATGGTATACATCACCTTAGATGCCTTCGTAATACTCCATTCTATATCACCGGAGCTCTCCTTTCTAATACTGTTCAATGTGAACTAATCACTGTTCACATGAGACCTATAATGGAAAAACATATATAAAAAAAGATGTCAAATAAGTAAATAACTTGAAACTACTATGCTGCAGTATGAGTATCTTTACTAAGCAATCCACCCTTGCTGGCTGGTGACTTGGTGTTGTACCAACCCCATATGAGCAGTACAAGGCATCCTGCTGTTGAAAAGATAGAAGACTCAAGATTTGGAAAGGCTGTAAGAGGCAAATATAACCTTGAGATTTATTTTTATTTTATTTTTTAAATGAGAGTGGAGTTAACAGCCAACATATTACACATTTGCTATGTATCTAGAAATGCCAAAACATCTTCTAATTTGGAATGGAGGGAGTACTTTCTTGACAATGCGGTTTAAAAATTTACAAGCTATTGGTTCACCTTTGGTACGCTACCTGAATATTGTTTGCTTCATTCACCTTCCATAGCCCTCATTTCTTCACTTCCATGGCAGCATGAGATTGGCTTCAAATTTTTTTCTCGGACACACATGAGAACTGCACATCATTTATATTAACAAAAGAAAGAGTCTGCATGACTCGTACAACCCCTATAGGGGCAAAGGAGTAAAGGAGTTACAAAAAGGACTCGCCAACAAAACCTTAAACACAACCAATGGCCGTGAGTGAACAATCATGGCCATATGCTACGGAGCCCTTTGGCTCCTGCCATACACCATAGCATCGCATCATATCTAATACCGCACAAGATTGGCTTAAAATTGAACTGGTTTACTTCATGTGATGTTTCAAGACAAATGTAAGAAATATAAATGTCCAGCTAGTGGCTATTGTAAATGTTGTGGTTTTAGTTCTGGTTAACAAAACGATAAGCAATAGCCAACAAAGAACTATTCCACCAGGTAAAATCTCTGGATCTGCCACTGCTAGCACTAGTCCAATAAAAAGTACCATGCTACCTATAAATCATGGTCATCCAATTAAATCTTAGCATGGCTATGGCTGTGCCAAAAGCCCAGGTGGAAAAAGTTTAATACTTGATCTAATGAGTCACACCTGGACCTCCTAGTTTCCAAAGATGGTGCTGCTGGAGCAGTGCCAGCTCACCTAGTACCTTGGCGCCTTGGCGGTAGTGGCAAGGTGTTTCCCAGCTAGAGCTGTTTAGGGCTTGGGCTATGCACAAAAGTTAGATAAATGAAGATGGAGGTTGCAGTATGGCCATGAAACTCATGGATGCATGATACTGCCATTTTCTTTGTTTCAACATGTCCTTTCTTTCTCTATTTGACATCGCATTAATCTAGCTGCATGGAAATGGTACAACTGCCCAGGCAACACCTAGAAGGTAGGCAGAGATTGACCCCACGCCTAGCGCAGCACTTTTTGAAACACTTCTTTATTTTATTTTATTTTTTACCCCCCACCCCGGTGGCCTCTAAGGTAGTTTTAGATTGCAAATGTAGAGATAACTATATGTGCAGTGAAACAAATAATATATGAATTATTCAATAATATGCTAAACCTTTAAACATCTAAGTAAACTTTACAACTTACATCTAATAAAGTTCACTGCCTTATTTGTATAATTTTCCAAAAAAGATAAATCTTAGGTAAAACCGTAAAGGTCATGCCAAGCCGCCAATACAATATCAACAACCAACAGCAATTAGATATTAATTTCCATTGACAATCGCCTCTACTAAAAACTTGTTCACAGTTCACACTCCTAGAAGCAATTACAAAAAATATTATTTCAACCTCATCTAAACAGTGTGTTCATAACCTATAAAGATTTATCATGCTGAATGTTAGAGTGTATATGTGCTGTGCATGTGTATATGGTAGGCCCAGCCTGATATAGCCGCCCGCCCCTGTATTTTGTTAGAGAGATACGAGGAGATCTCGATTGGTTTTGTTTCTCTAAGCCATGAGATCTCCTCCCCCCTATATATATATATGTGTACATAGGTCTCTACAATCAATCTAATCCAATATTTCCACTCAATCCATATTGCTTTCGTGGTATCACGAGCCTAATTTTTTTCCTTTCTCCGCTTTCGTCGCCGCCGCCTCTCTCGTGCGCGCCCTCTGCTGCCATGGCCAGTGACCCACCAGCCGCAGCAGCCCCTGCCTCCGCTGCTGCTGCTAGCGCGGCCAGAGCTGCCGTTGTTGACCCCTCCGATGCCGCTGCCGCCGCTGCCCTGGCTGAGACCGCTCGCCTCGCCAAGGAAGAGCGCGACCGCGCGGCCGCTCGTGCGGAAGAAGCAGAGCGTGAGGCCACCCTCGCCCAGCAGGAGCGCGACGCTGCTGACGCGCGCCTCCGTGCTGCCCTCGACCGCGCCGCTCTTGAACACGTCGCGGCTGCTCTGCCTCTGGAAGACGACGCTGCTTCCAGTGAAGATGAGGGCTACGCCTCCGAAGATGGCGGCGCCCCCACCTTCGCGCCGCTCTGCTCCAACACGAGGCTACCACGCTCCTCAATCTGCACGCCCAAGCGGTGGCTGTGCAGAACATCCGCAACCTCATGCCGTTCCTCCTCGACCTCACCTCGACCTTCTACGCTCGCTGGCGCGAGGCATTCCTTCTCGCTGTTGAACGCTACTCTCTGGAGAGCCATGTCCTCTCCGACGTTGCTGTCCCCACCTCCCCCGATTGGGTCCGCATGGACTGCGTCGTGCGGACCTGGATCACCTGCACCATCATCGACGCCCTCACTGAGACCGTCGTTGAGAATGGCACCACTGCCCGCACCACCTGGCTGGGCATCGAGTCACAATTCCGCGGCAACCACGAAACTCGGGCCCTCCACCTCGACGCCACCTTCCGCACCTTCAACCAAGGTGACCTCAACATAACCGAGTACTGCCACAAGCTCAAAGGCATGGCGGACGCCTCTCGCAACCTTGGTGAGCCCGTCGACTCTCGTCCTCAACCTTCCGCGCGATCTTAACGGCCGCTTCGAAGCCATTGGGCTCCATCTTCACCGTGGGCGTCCCTTTCCCTACTTTTTGCAGGCTTGGAACGATCTGCTCCTTGAGGAAATCAACATGGCAGCGTCCACTCCGGCCACCGCTCTCCATGCTGGGGCAGACAACTCCGGCAAGGCTCGGCCACCAGCTTCAACCCCTTCGTCACCAGCTGCTCCACCCGCCCCTTCCCAGCAGCGGCCACCAAACCCACAGCAGCAGCCCTCCTCCAATTCCGGGGGCGGCGGCAAGCGCGGCGGTGGCGGCCGTGGAACATCGGCCAGCGGCGGCGGCGGCGGCGGCCCCAGCAGCGCGCCAGGTGGGCAGCCCTAGCCCAACCTACATCAGCCGTGGACCGGGTCCATCAACATGTGGCCCGGCCCGCGCCCCTCGTCGCTACCACATCCTCGGGGAGCTCCTCATTGGGCCCAACACACAACCTGCAGCAGCCTCCTCACGCCCTTCTCGATCGGGCCGCCAGGGTTATTTGTGCACCTCGGGAACCAAAGAGTGGACTCTCCCCCCCCACCCTACCAGATAGCCCTGACGATGTTGCACCGCCTGGCTAGGACGCGTCGAGCCTCGCCTCCAACTTTCAGACAAGTCGCTCCAGCAACCTCCACAGAGTAATTGGTACTTTGACTCTAGGGCGACGAACCATATGACCTCCGACGCTGGTATACTCACCACTCCTTCACCTCCACCTTCCTCTTTTCCTTCCAATATTATTGAAGGTAATAGGAACCTTCTCCCTGTTACCTCCACTAGAGTTACCACTTTTACATATCATCTTCATCTTAATAATGTCCTTGTTTCACCTGATCTTATTAAGGCCTTGTTTAGTTGGCGAAATTTTTTGGGAAATGATACTATAGCACTTTTGTTGTTATTTGACAATTAGTGTCCAATCATAGTCTAATTAGGCTTAAAAGATTTGTCTCGTGAATTTCGTTTAAACTGTGTAATTAGTTTTATTTTTTATTTATATTTAATGCTTCATGCATGCGTCCAAAGATTCGATGTGACGAGGAATCTTGAAAAAATTTGCAAAATTTTGGAAACTAAACGGGCACTAAGAATCTTATTTCGATACGCCAGTTTACTTTTGATAACAACTGTTCTGTGGAGTTTGACCCTCTTGGCTGTTCTGTGAAGGATCTTCGTTCTTGGAGAGAGATCGTCAGATGTGATAGCTCCGGTCCTCTTTATCCGCTGCGATTTCGGAGTCTCCATCTACTCTACTTGCCGCCACCAGTCCTTCGCTTTGGCACCAGTGTCTCGGTCATCCTGGTCATGAAATTTTGTCTAAACTAGCATAGTCATCTGCTATTCCTTGTAATAAGAGTGCTAGTCAAACTCTGTGTCATGCTTGTCAGTTGGGTCACCATACACGTTTACCTTTTC